GCAATTTAGAAGGGATAGATAGAGCGAAGGCAGCTAGTCAACACCACCCGCAGCCAACTCTTGGGCTACTCATTACCAACGAATAGAGGGATTACCTGTCACATTATAACACTTCCACAGCTGAAAGAGCGACCGTGTTCGGTGTTGAGATTCGAATCCGAGATGTTTGTTGTGTCTTACAAATTTCTTAAGATTTTCAGGTTAACACTAATATATTCTCAATATGGCGTATTAAAAAATTAACATTTAATAAGAGAACATTATTTTTGTTTTAAATCAATTTTATTTTTTGCTTTAAGCACTTTACGCACAATATCGAATTTTTGTGTGTAAATCAACAGTTTCCAACCTTTTTAACTCCGTGAACCAAACATTTTTTTGCAAAAAGCGATTTAACACACTTGCCTATCATACGGTGACCAGATTTCCAAACCGAAAAACCGGGATAGTCCAGCCCTTGCCCCTAATCTCAAAATGATTATTACAAATTTGAAACAATTTAACTTTTATATAATTTACTTTAAATTTATTGAACTGTTCCATAGTATTTCCAAATATTTTAACATTGGCACAGTTTCAAAATAATTTAAATTGCTTTTTCTCTGGTGATTGACATAAAAGAAATTAGCAGTATAGTTAAATTATACACCCAAGAAATATTTAATTATTCACTTTATCCAATTCATCTTAAAATAGACTACTTCATACCTGGATTATATATTTAAGAATCCACAACATTTTCAAACATACTACTTTGAGGTTTTAGAGTTACTTTGAAACTTTTTAGACATATTTTTTTGTGAAGAATGAATGGAACGTAAAAAAGTTCTGGTTTTTTCATTAAATACTCGTAAAATTCACTACACGACCGTATAAAATGTGTTTTCACAATGAGCACTGCATTAATTAACTGTCTCCACGTTCAGACCTGGGTTTCTCACACGTAGACGGAACTTTCGAGAGAGTTTGGCGGCAGGAGAGTACGTGTTACCACAACGAGCGAGTCAAATAGGCCTATTATATTCGTGATTCGATGTGACTGACAGTTTGATCTCTTTATCATAAAACTGGGACGTTTTGTGCGTCCCGACGACTTTTTTTCGGGACACCGGGACTGTCTCGCCAAAACCGGGATGTCTGGTCACCTAAACTTGCGGATGTACAAAAGAACCTAAAATCACAAAGAAGACTACTATTACAGCAGATACTTATGGCTAAGAAATAAATGTGAATTTAGGCATTAGAATGTTTTCGATATAGGTTTTTATAGGTGTGAGGTGTTATGCCTCGTGAAAAGGTATTACACTAGAAGATTAGAGGTCAACCAAAGTTGTTTCCCAATTTAGCTTCCTGAAGAAGCTTGAAGTAAACTTGTGAAGTTTATTTTACAGTAAACTAAGAAGGAAACCTGTTCCTATAGCACACTACAAATGATAAATCTCACGAAAATCAAATCTTTCGCAAGACTTTTTCTTCCTTTCTTTTCGCCACATGTGGCTCAATAGTAAACTTGGGGGTTTATAATGTTAGAAGATTGCGTTCGATACCTCCGGTGGGCGCAGTGAAGAAAGCCCATTGTGTAGTTTTGCGCAAACAAACAAACAAACGAACAAATTGCTTTTTTCTTTATTGATATTATTTCGGACTGGTAATGACATTATTGGCAAACACTGGTTTAAACTGTCGTTGTAGTCAGTAACTTTAGGTATGTTTACTTCTGCTTATGTCTTTGGCCTGGTGGTTAGGGTGCTCGACTCGCAACTTGAAAGGCGCGGGTTCGAAACCTCGTCATCGAACATGTTTGCCCTTTCAGCCGTAGGGTCGTTATAATGTGACAGTCAATCTCACTATTCGTTGGTAAAAGAATACATCAAGAATTTGGTGGTGGGTGGTGTTGACTTCCCTCTATCACTGCTAAATTACGGATGGGTATCGCAGATTTAATACCAGTTGAGAAATCACTTTTCTTTGAGTGCAGTATTATATATAAAAAGATTTACTGTTCTAAACCAAATGAGTTATATCTAGCATTAAATCTGAGTTCATGTATATGAATGTATAAATATGATATATATATATGAATGTATAAGTCAGATATATACATATATACCTACCTATCCGACAACGTAACAATTTCATACCTTGGCCCAACTTCTTACAATAGAAACTTTTTAAATTAGGATAAGTTATAATTCAGTTTCTGACAATATATAATTCAATGTTTTAGAGAAGTTTCAATAAAATAAAATTCAGGAATGAAAATCAACATTGGGAAGTCATTTAACTGTATTGTTGTTTGTATTCGCTTTCAAAGAACTTGTAAACTATGTTTAAAATCTTTCAATTTACCTGTAGTTTATTTTTAACATGTGTTATTTAACACCATCCCGACTTTAACTTTACCTAGTTAACAAGCAGTAGCGTGTGTTAGTGGTCCTGGAACGTTCTCCGTGCAACGCGTCTGAGGCTGGTTTAGCACACTCGTAATAATCGTATATCAACGCGCAAGGAAACCTGAACTTGGAAAGAAGATAGACCGTATGGTTATTGTTAAGAAAAAAACGTTTATATGTGAACTCAGTCATTAAAATGTTATTAAAATAGATTTTAATAGCTTGTTTGAATTTAAAAAAAAATTAAACCTAAGAAAATAGTGCATCAAACTTATCGAGACAACTGGAAAATTTGAGGGTGCGGAAGGATACAACGTAGTTTGGGCTCTGCGTAATAATGTCAAAATGCCATGATGAAATGAACAGTCAGAACAGATCAGAAGTTGGTCGGAAGAAGTTAGGAAGAGAGTATCTGTAGTAGAAAATCTTTTTAGACGCAATATAGTTTGGATAAAGTTTATTTTATATACATGTGCCGTTTTGTGATCCTATTACAACAAGCTCAGTGTGTATTGAGGATGACACTCTAAACGATTTAGAGAGTTAAATAGCAACTTGTGTATCATTGAGAATATTTTTTCACAGCAATGCGACGTCGACCGAATGTTTGTGTTCAAGTTGCTTTCTTAGTGTTCGCGTTCATCCCAAGTTTTATCCAAGGTAGGTGTGCTCAGAAATCGTAAAACAGAACTGTCGTGGCTTGGTAGTCTTAGCTTTTAAACACAGTATTTTAGAATTTGATATATTTCCGATGTCGTTCTAATTCTAACAGCAGTTCTGATAATTAGTTTCAGATATGTATCGTAATACTTTTATTTAAGTTTTAACTAACGTTTTGATACTTCGGAAGCTATCTTATTTAACTAAATAGAAGTTTTACGTTCATAAATGTTTTAACTTTTACTTTTAGTACTTTTTACTCTAATACAAGGAAAAATTGAGCGAAACTTTTTTGTTTCGTGTGTTACACCCGCTATCTAGTCATTTTGAGATAATGTAATTCACATCATTATAGACTATTGAATTTTCTCTAAATGTATATTGTTGTTAAACTATGCTTTGAGTTGTAGGTAAGCATTCAACCCAGTTATTGTTCCTGAAGTTAGACTTACATAGGTTAAATAACTTTTAACAAGGCATTTTATCTTTAGCAAAAAGACATTCCCTGTTGTTTCGTTTCATGTTTCTCATTTATTTTTCATCCTATGCTAACTAAATGTTTCAACTGCTGTCAAAATAAACATTAATATTAGTGTATCGCAATCAATAGGATTTATTGTTTCTCCGACTGAAACGATTTGGAGGGGTGGATATAACGATGACGTTGTCCATCTGTAGAAATTTATTTTACGCGCAGTAGCTAGATCTAAACAGGAAAGTTTAATCAAACTTCAAAGAACAGTTCTCTTAGGAACAGGGGAGAACCGTATTGATTTCGGAGTTAAAGGAGTTTCAAAAACGTAAAAATATAGTTTCTGTGTAAAATAAAACATAAACCCCAAAATACAATATTTTTCAAAACGCGCACAAATCTAATGGTCGTGGGGATCAGTCATTCTACCGATGATTTGTTTAGCAAGGCGACAAACTTCCGTTTCTCAAGCTTCACCCGAACCGGTGACACGAACTCACGGATGTACGTTCCGCTAGCCTTGCGACTCAAGCTCCCACGGTCAGCTTAGCGCGATAGTAGGCGACTTCTGTCAAAAGACAACAGTTATGAGGCCGATATGTGGCTATGCTCTCTTCCGCCTGTTTCTATTTGTTCTTTTTAAGCTGGTTTAGATAGTGATTGTGTGTGTGTGCATGTACGTTATTTGATATTATCGCTATTTTCCTCTCAACACATTTTCCTTACTTTCACGTAGTACTTTAAATACCTGTGATTATGAACCCAGGTTCAAATATTTCCATAAGCTCTTTTCACACGCTCACCAAACATAATTATGGTAACTGAATGTGTTGTTTATAATTAAGAATACCGCTTTATTTCGTATTTCTTTTACTTCAGAAAGTTGTAAAATTGAGTTAGTATTTGGTAATTTACATGTTTTATAATACACTCAATCAAAATTAAACCTTATGCTTCAAGACGAAATATATGTTATCGATAATAAAGTAGGTTAACTACATAGATTTTGTTTAGGAAATTCGTGCGGAGCAGGCTGCCTCCAGTTTTGATCTGATAAGACAAGAGGGAAGGCAGGTACTCAACAGCACCTACCGCCAATTAAACATCCATTTTCCCTTGTAGTGCTATACATAAATCTAACATAGTAATTGGGAACTCTTTCTTTAAGTGTTCCTAGATTTTCCGTTTGTACAGTTCTGATCTATGCGTGGTTAGTGAACAGTCTGCGGGGCTATTAATCTTTGGGTCTACGGTTGTCGAACTGTTTGCAGTAAACGCGTTCTCCATTTTTAAACCATGGGTGCGTTATAAAATAATGGTCTATTTCTATGACCTCTCTTCTTTGCTACAGATGCCTCTCATTGTAAATAAAATAGAATTCATCCATGCACATACATGTATATCAGTGTGCAGGTTTTCAGCTTAGTCCAAGAGAAAACTTACATATGTGATGTTCAGCAAACAAACAAAACAACAACAAAAAACAGTTGATATAGAAGTAAAGTCTATTGCGTAGACTTGTAATTGTGAGTGTTTGTTAGTTTGGTTAATTATGCTCGAGACCAGTCAGTTGCATTTCCTTTTGTCTTACATGTACATGTTCTCCGAATTTTCTGTGCAAATGATCATTATCGTCCATAGGGTTGCAGGAAGTGGCTTTTAAGAATGTCACAAGGTGTCGTCATCGTCCTCGTGACTCAAAAGGGAGAGAGAGAACTAAGTTACATTTGAGGAGTAGGATAAAGATCTATAGAAATCTATGTTGTCTGCTAGAAGCGAATCAAGTATTTAAGTATATATGTTTAATGTGTAGGAGTAATGTTGTGTTCGTAAGTAGAAACAAGAACATTTTTTTTGTTTACGTGAACAATAGGGTAGCTAGAAAACACGTGGTATCACTACCATGCAAATTACATTCAGAAATAATATATAACAGTGGTTAAAACTGGAGTCAGAAAGTCTGTGGCCAAAGCTTTGGTAACCTATGTATGCTAGTATGATAGGGCACATAGAAACTTGGTGAAATTTTTACAGTCACAAAAAAGAAGCAAAAATCACATTTTAATTGTGTTCAATAATTACAGGTTTTAAATTACATATTTACTTTTAGGTTTTTTATTCATGAGAAAATGTTTCTCTGCACTACGAACAAACCTAATGAAGATTAGTGCTAATAGTTTCAAATGTCGTCTACGAGTGTTGAAGCTCGTTAACGTAAACTGAACAGTCTCTGAACGCAACCAATAATAGAACTACTTTTAGTTCACTGTACTGTTTCAGCAACATATCTACTTTGAGAATTGGACGAATGTTTAGAAATCCCTGTAATTTATCATAAAATAAAAGTAAATAATTTTGTGTTATTAATTACTACCCTGAAAATCTGATTTTGTAAATGACTTAAATAAATGTATAATAATTACAAATCAAATGCTTAATCTGATTCACAACATATATATATATATATATATATGCGTAATCATCCATTGTTAATTTTACACTATTTTTTTAGTCACATCTCATGGCTTGAGAGAGAGCGCATTACTCGAGTAACCGCCAGTCTTTGGTTGGAATGAAACGCCACACTTACATACATACAAAAATATCTGTTGTATTCAGGCAGGCCTGATGATCCTCGGTGTCGGGACTGAAATGTAGTGTGGTTGATACATCTAACCTATATAAAAGTCACATCACGCTTGATTTCTCGAAATAGGAGGAGTCATAAAAGCCAAATTGCATTTATCCAGATAATATAGTTTGATTACTGTCTGCTCCTTATTATTTTAGTGATGGGGGTGCAAGGAGACCGTGAGGTATACCATAAAACCTTATAAGTGTAGTGAGTGTTGTTAT